ACCCGGGCTCCGCCTCCGGCTGCTGCCGCCAGGGCCGGCGCCCCTCCCCCGCACCGCCTCTTCCGGGTCACGCGCGGCAAGCGCTTCCGGGGGCGCCCCGCCCGGAGCCAATCGCTGCGCGGCCTCGCGGGGACTGCCCATCTTCGGCGCCGCGGGGGGAGGAGCGGCGCGTACCATGCGTGTGCGTCGGGGCGGGGTGACGTCACGCGTCCACCCGGCTCCCGACCGCGAGGCATCCTGGTTTTCTCGGATTAAAAAAAAAAAAAAAATCCCCAATTTTCTGGAAAATACAACAAAAGTAGCCCCAAATCCACATTTTTGCATGATTAAAATAAAACACCATTATGATACACACACACGTACATATATACACACACACATATATACATATACATACACATGCATACATATATATGTATGTATGTGTATCTATATACATACACACACATCTATATATTAGTAATTGGCTCATGATATCTTTTGCCAACAAGGTATTTGCAAAAAAATGTCCTTCATTGCACAAACACTCTCATCAGGCATCAGAGAAAAGATTGTACCCATTCTCCTGGGTCAAAATGCAAGTTTGTATTTTATAGGATTTTACAGGGGGTCAATAGATGGAAAAGCCTCTGGGGAGCAGTTCTTAGCTGGTGAGGAGTCTCAGCTCTCCTATGAGGCTGTGATGATGCAAAGTACTATCTATACATGAATGGTGTTACAGGTTTGGTGGTACTTGGCAGTGCTACACTCGCTGGCACCACAACCGCAAGGGACTTGGGGGTCATGGTTGACCACAAGATGAATGAGCCACCAATGTGATGCCACCACCGGCAAAGCAAATAAAACCCTGGCTTGGATCTACTGATGCATCTCAAGCGAGACTCAAGGAGTCATCCTCCTGCTGTACTCAGCCTTGGTGAGCCCGCAGCTGGAGCACTGCATCCAATTCTGGGCTCCGCACTTTAGAAAGGACGTGGACAAGACTGAGAGAGTCCAGAGGAGAGCCATGCGCATGATCAGAGGTCAAGAGAGCAGGCCTTATGAGGAGAGGCTGAGAGCCTTGGGACTCTTCAGCCTCAAGAAGCGAAGGCTCGGGGGGACCTGGTGGCAGTCCGTAAGCCCATCAGGGGTGTGCATCAGGATCTGGGAGAACATCTGTTCACCAGGGCACCCCATGAGAAGACAAGGTCTAATGGTCACAAACTCGTGGAAGACTGTTTTAGACTGGACATAAGGAAAACCTTCTTTACCGTCCGAGTCTCCAGAGTCTGGAACAGACTCCCGCCAGAAGTGGTGCAAGCACCTACTCTGGATACGTTCAAGAAACACCTGGATACTCACCTTGCTGGGGTGATCTGACCCCAGCTGACTTCCCGCCCCTGGGGCAAGGGGCTGGACCCAATGATCTTGCGGGGTCCCTTCCAGCCCTAATGTCTATGAAGTCGATGAAATGCGTGGAAAGGCTCTGTCTTCGTAAAGTCCCTGGTGAGCAATGAAAATGCTAGAAAGCCAGGCAGGTCTGCAATTCCAGACACAGCTCCATTTCAATGACTCTGGGGAGCTGCACTGCTGCTAAAATGTCCAGCTCCACTTACACACACCCACGCACTGCTTAGTCCACCGGTGTCTGCTTGTGCCCGTGGAGGGCTGCATGTGCACAGGTGATGAGTAGACCAGGGCCCCTGTGAGCAACAGGAGCTCCACATTTCACAACCCAGCCAATAATTTCACTGACCCCAAGACGTCTGCACTGACTCCTCCCTGCTTGTAACAGACCGACAGGATTAAGTTATTACCTACATCCCTCTGGAGACAGAGAGGGATGTAGATAAGTAGCTAGACTTAAGTATCTAGACTTCATGTTCTGGGTTCACAAGGGATGGATTTAATGTTGACTGGGACTGGACCTGCAGGCAGAGGTCTCAATAGACTCATCTACCCTCATTAAGTCCCCAGTTAGGATTCGTAGATATTGTTCTGTTAGGGGGGAAACCTCACGATCATATCATGACTCTGACCCCCCAGGAAGTCTGGCTGGCAGATCTGGGCACGTTATGGTTATGAAGTGCTCCCTGTTCAGAACTGCACGGGCATTATTTAACTGACCAAACCTGTTCCTTAGGTACCTGTGCACACTCCTTCTGCTGTGGCTTGTGATACGAGAGGGAACTAGGGCAAGGGTTGTTATGACATCAACCAGACAGATGAAACATCCTCATCTCTGCACGATGTGTTTCCATTTACAGCTCTGATGATGAATCAATAACCTGTGGCACAGGCCTGAATCATTAGGAGTTGATTGTTTGAGCAGGAAAAAAACTATCAACCCCTAAACCCAGAGATGCAGGAGTTATCATTGTAATTGTCAGGAAATACAGGCAAACCTCAGTCGGAAACCAATTTAGAACCACAGCTTGAATCCCGAGCCTGTCGACAAGAATTACTCAGTGAAATGTCCCCATCCATGAAGAAAGTCCCAATAAGATCAGTTCTGCTCACCTGGACAGAGCCAAGAAGGTGTGTGTTGAAGAACTTGGGGGCTGCTGGACGTCTCCTGTAAGTAAAAGAGCAGGGTGCCTGGTCATTTGCAGAAGGGAGTCACAGATAGATGAATGATTATGCCCTGTTAAATATTCCCAGTAATGGTAGGGGGTGATGAACTGTTTTCCCCTCTCAGTGCACTGCCTATGTCCACTACCAGCTGGTTTTGTCAGTAAGCTGAGGAGCTGAATATTTGCTCCCTAATAATTGTCATTCAGAAATAGGGTCACAATCCTGAGAGGTGTCAAGCGTCCATAACATAGGTGCAAAAACCACTCGTCTGACCCAAAATGAGCATCAGATATTTTCAAAGTCAGCTTCTTGTCAAATGTTCTAACCCATTTGCAGCATTTGAGATGTGCTCTTAGCTCTGCTCCTAACTGATCCTATGTTGCTGTTGCTCTAGCACTCACAGTTCCTCACTGAAATCAGGGCCACATTGGTCTAGGCACAATAAACATCACAGGCAGAGGCAGATCTGGCTTCAAAAGGCCTAAAATCAAAAAAAAACAGACAAAAGTAAATAAGGAAAGTATTATCTTATTTTGCGAGACACAAGGATTTCTTAGGGTGATATCTTTTATTAAACCATGTGTAGCTGGGATAGAATTAGACAGGCTTGCAAATGCAAGACATTCTTCATCAGGTTATCTATGGCATTTTGTTCTCTCAGCTGTTCAAAAAGCATGAAATTCATTATGCAAACTTTCAAAATGTAGTTCAAATACTTACTGAGAAAAAGGCAGCTCCGGAAGCCCAAATCCAAAGTGCTGAAGGCAGATACAAGACACTTACAGCCAATGAGCTAATGCAACAAGAACTGTGTGAGGTGACGGAAAAAGCAGCAATTCAAAATTTGGAGCTAGGACTGCTCTTGAAAAGGTCCCGATGACCTGATGAAGAATGTCTTGCATTTGGCCACATCATGAAGAGTGTCTTGCATTTGAAAGCTCGTCCAACTTTATCTCCACTACACAGTTGGTCAAGTAAAAGATATCACTTGAAGAAATCCTTGCCCCTCGCATCATTTCTGGGCCATCCTGCCTACATCACTCTTATACTACCTTATCTCACTTCTGCAGCTGGGGGAGAAAGGAATAGCAAGAATTAGGTGACTTGTTCAGGGTGAAAGGAGTTGGTCACATGGTAAATGAACATGGATTTTTGAAACCCCTTGCTTACAGCTCCTTGCACAGGCAGTGTTACAGAAACAGAGTGCTCCTAAAACTGTCTCCTGTCTCTGTAGGTGTTTTCTAAGCCCCTCTTTGCAATCCTGGGCAACGTGAACTGAGCATATGACTGTTTCAAAGGGGATAAAAAGATGGATGCAGAGACAGGAGAGCACTTCTTCCTCTCTGGCACTTGGGATGAGAGAAACGGAGGGTACTTCTCCTCTACAAAGTCCCCAGAAGAAAACGCACATGGCTCTCTGGATTCTGCAGGTGACGCGCTTGGGTGGGGGGAAGACCAGTGTGGTGTACAGAAGCACTAGTAG